TGTGTGTGTGTGTGTGTGTGTGTGTGTGTGTGTGTGTGAGAGAGGGAGAGAGAGAGAGAGAGAGAGAGAGAGAGAGAGAGAGAGAGAGAGAGAGACTGACTTTGAGTTGCTTAGTCTGGTGTCACATGGCGAGGTTGTGCGACTCTAGGACATTAGTGAATGCTCCTTAGTAAATCTTAACCTATCTCTTTTCTCTACAGGTTGGTACTAAGAAGTGCCTTTCCTGACGTCTCTGCTGCTTGGAACCGCTTCTAGAGCAGCCTCTGCTTTTGCCTTGCTTGCTGCCAGCTAGACTGTGACGACAGCACATCCGCCCTCCACCTCTAGCCCAGACACCCCCACTTCTACTTCTAATCAGGAGAAAAGCTCTGAGTATCTGCCATTGCCCTAGGCTGCTTTAGTTTAGAAGAAAAGTTTGCTGAAAAAGTAAGATACCTTCTGCCAGGAAATCAAGGAGGAAAACAAAAAATCATTTTCTCGATTTTGCTCTAAACTGCTGCATCTGTCTATGCCAAACTAATCAATACCGATTGCACCACCAAACTCCATCGCAAATTCAGCTGTGAGGAGATTCCCTGTCAGACAACTTGGCTGAAAGCAGCTTGGAAATTCGGTGTCAGAGGGTCTGCCACGTTTTCATGCTTGCATTTTGGGCTCCAAATTGGCACTGGGAAGGGGTTACTGAGCGCAAGGCTGGTTCCAGGCCCTCCTTTAAGCACCCATCTACTTACAATTCTGGTATTTCTCTAAAAACCAAAACCTCTTTGAATTAACAGTTTCATGCTGTGACTTTCTAGTGGAGGTCTTTCCCTTGATATTGAAGTCACACTCTTCCACGTGCCGTTAAAGCAGGGAGCGGGGAAACAGCCTTCCGGACATTTTCACCGTCATTTCACACTTCTAAGTTTTATCAGTTCCTATTTTGTTTTGTTTTTGTTTCGGTTATTGATTTTTTTTTTTGAGAGGGGTTGGGTTTGTTGGTTTCATTGAACATTTAACTACCTGTAAAATATAAACATGGCTGTTAGTGTCACACCAATTCGGGACACAAAATGGCTAACACTGGAAGTTTGTAGAGAGTTTCAAAGAGGGACTTGCTCACGGCCAGACACGGAGTGTAAATTTGCACATCCTTCGAAAAGCTGCCAAGTTGAAAATGGACGAGTAATCGCCTGCTTTGATTCACTGAAAGTGAGTAAATATTATGTACTTTTAAGGATATGCAATGATTGATTAAGGGGTATGGGCACACGGTACTCTAAGTTTCGGACTATGGATTGCTTTGTTAACACTTTAGTTATATAGCATGTTCTGGTTTATTGTGTTGAGCTGAGGCACTCAATGAGATGCCAAGTCCAGCCAAACTTACAAATAACTTTACCAGGCCTTTAACTCCAAACTCCATGATTTTTTAACCCAGAGCAGAAAGTGTTGTGTATTGATGCAGTTGTAATATAATGATAGCAGAGTGAGAGTCTTTGTTCAGCAATGGTAAATGTTCATGTTCAGCACTTTCATATATTATAATAAGGCCAAGACAGTAGCTGATTGAATATAAGTTGTTTTCCTTTGTTGGTAAACTTGTCAAGCTGCTATAAATGAATGGCAAATTCTATGTCAGCTGATCATGAATACATTTTTACTTTTCTATGAGATAATTTTAGTGGCTAAAGCCATGTACTTTTGGGAAAACATGACTAGATGTAAGATTTCTTTCAATTGCTATAGTATTTTATCTGAACCACATACTTAATGAATGTGGGCTTTATATATAGGTACAAACTAAGTACTATTGTTCATTGGATGTTTCATACTGAAGTAATACATATGTTCTTTTTCTGTGAGATTCTTGACAGTTGTTACTTAATGTGTTTCTGGTCAGAAATGTTAAAAGTTAGTCTTGTATGCATGATAAAAAGAAATTATTTATGTTAGCATTTTTATAAAGTTTGAAATGGATCTTGTAAAAGTTAGCAAACATGTCTTAATTGTGAAATGCAAGGACAAGACTAGAAACTTGTTCCAGGGTACCTTCAACTTATTTGGTTTAATTAGATTTTTAATTTTTGAATACTAAATGCCTGCAGTTAATTCTTTGACTCTTCCAAGATGGATCAACATCGTATCTACATCTGTGAAGAAGTCTCATAAATCCATCGTGTCTTTTAAAAACAAATCATATTGTAATCAGAGTGCTTTGTTTCGTCTTGTCAGGGTGAGTTAGAGGTTAACCATTTCAGCTGGTTGTTTTTAGTTCACTTTGTGATGCTCACTTTTGTAAAGTTTTTGCTAAACCTTTCAACGATTCAGTCTTGAGAATAGGCTAAGAGGAGGTGTGTGATAGTAACCACAGACGCTGGTTAAGTCGGCAGGCTATCGGCAGAGTCCTAGGGACTAATAAGTAGGAGTTGTCAGTTACTACTTCCCCCACCTTGGCCTTGAAACACATTGATAAAGGCACGGTGTTTATACCTTTGTGAACATCAGTCCTAAATTAATGCTCGTGAATTCAGGTGTAATTAGAGACAGGGATCCAAAAAACTAGGAGCAAAAGACTTAATTGCTCTTGTCGGTAACCAGCTGTGTTCTTCAGTACCTCCTTTTTGACCCAATTCCTAGCAAATCCAGTTTGTAATCCTATAGATAATTACAACTCCTAGCTGTAAAATGAAGGACATTAAATTTGGCTGTGAAGACCTGCCTACACAGAGTTTGCAAACACTGTGAACTATTAATACTCAGTTTCTATTTTTCCAGTTCCACATATTTTTTTTAAGTTACTGCTCACTTGTGGTCAGAGAACAGTTCTCCTTTGAGTAAAGCTGCAGATCTGCTTACAGACGTGCCGTGTGGTTAACGAGATTCAACTGCCACATCAAGGACTTCTTAAAACAACAACAACAAAATAATGTTAATTTTTAAAATTTATTTATGAAATGAATTTATTGTACCACTTAATAACAGCAAACTTTGTCCTTTTTTTTGTTTTTTTAAGACAAGTTGAAATTTATAGTTTAATTTTTTTTTTAATTTGGCAAAACTTTTTTTATTTGAATAGACAGACAAATTAACACAAATTTATTTATGATCGAGTTTTATACTCGGACAATAGCTCCTTATGTGTTAGTGAAATATTAAGAATCAATCAACTCTGTGTGTGCAGTTAAATGTTCGTGTTTTCCAAACAATTCCACATGTAACTGGAAGAACCCCTCATTCTTTATATGGTGTTTGGAATTCTACCTTTTAGCTAGTAGTCTTATGGTGTTCATTTTTGTGGCTAAAATAGATCCAGAACACATCTTAAAACACTTAAAGTATCTGAATGACTCATGCTTGAAGTTCTGAAGTTTGCGAGCATTCTGAGGCTTGCCTGCCAACAACCAACAGATCATCTCCATTGTCTCAGAGTCAACGGAAGTTTTACAAGTAAAACTTGTAATATCCTGACTTCTTTAATGAAATGTGCTTTCTGCATTGCTTTTAATCCCTGTTCCAGCCTCATTTGAGTTCTTGAGCCATGAGATGGAGGTGGCTTGTGTAATCTACTATTTTTAGAAAGTTAGGAAAGCAAACCAAATACTCTCTGAGAGGACCCTGTGAAATGGCTGTACCCTTCAGCTGTGCTGTTTCAGACTTTGGCTGAGCTCCCAGGTGACTTAGGTTTATAGCTGACTTCTGGTTAGAAGAAGAGAATCCCCCCTCCCACACACACGCACACGCACACGCACACATACATGCATATACACACACACAGAACAAGTTGAACAGTAGAAAAATGTTTATCTAAAAGAAATTACTAGGCGTATTACTGGAGATTATGAGAAGAAAATTAGCTGATAGGGTTTCATTGACATGCTGATGATTTTAAATTTTGAAGATGAAATTAAGGTTAAATGTAGTGCAGTAAAACAGTTCTAGTTCATAATAAATATGTTGCAAAAATTGGAGTGTGTTAAGTAGAAATATATGTGTATGTTATGTCTTTCCAAATGCAAATAATGAAAACAAAAGATAAGTAACAGGTCAAATGTATAAATTAAATAGCATTTAAACACTTCATTAATTTAATTTTTATATTGCACTTGTAGTTTAAATTTATAGTAGTCTAAAGGTGAATTCTACCTATGGCTTGAAGTGCTTATAACTTGCAGGTCTGTGTGCAGTAGGCACTTCAGATACTCAGAACAGTTGACCAAGTGCATCATTTTGTTCTGAAGAGGGTTTTTGTTTGTGTATATTTTTTTTTTACTCTTATGGCTTATGAATGGGTCACCAAAAGAGAAAAATGATTAAAAGAGAAGATTCCAGCACTGCAGTTCCAGCCGCCAATAGAATGGTGCCATGTTTCTGGAGTGGCATTTCCAGTAATTTTAATGCCATGCTACTCTGTCATGATCTCTCTGCTTCACAGTACAGAGTTTATGTGAAGAAAGTTGGTGGGATGTATTTCCATGTGATGTTGAATGTATTATAGTCTCAGAGAGTAAGCATTCACTATGTAATCCATAGAGAAAAACCTTTGATGTTAACATCTGGATTAGACAGCATGACTGACTTGATGGGGTGCCCCAAAGTAATGACAGTTAATTTCAGAATTATCTTCCATTATTACCACAGAGTGTTTTCACCATAACAATGGCTGGTATCATTGCTATTCTTACAAAGATACCATCATGGTCTTTTCATAATGTTTTAAAAACAATTTTAGCTGGTAATTCTGGCAAAATAAAATGCATGAGACATGTCCTGGACAAACCATTCAGTTTTGAACTAAAATTTTAATGTTGTTTGTTCCTATTTGCACTAACTCTTACTAAGCCCTTTCCTGACAGCATCTCACATATGATGTTACAGTTTTAAAGATGGTCACATCCTGTATTTAGCAACTTGTGCACACATGTATGCATTGTGTCCTTAGCGATAGGTTGACGCAGCAAGTCCTTTTCCTACACTGATGTTTTCAGTTTTCAGAGCTGGACTAACTGTTAGGACACAACTTGTAAAGCAATGTGATTGCCTTACCTGTTCTCATCGTTTCCAGTGAGCAGAAACCTCACTACTCTGAGAAGTCCCTGTGCCTGGGTGGCAAAATCATTAGTTCTGACAGGACCATTTTTGTAACAAAATGCTCAGTAGTTATAGCTGCTTCAGCTGTACTAATAATAACTGCAGAAATGTGCCTGTTCATCTCCTTAAATTCTTTAGAAGTATATCCTTTTATTCATTTTTCTTTTCCTTTTGAGATTATAATATAGTTATATTACTTCTCCCTTCCATTTTCTCCCTCCAAACCCTCCCATATACTCTTCTTTATTCTTTTTCAAATTCATGGCCTATTTTTTCGTTACTTGTTGTTACATGCATATGTGTGTACTCTCTCTCTCTCTCTCTCTCTCTCTCTCTCTCTCTCTCTCTCTC